CCTAGTTGTTCGCTGTCGGACAACGGCGCAACGAGAACGCACGTACTTCATTAAATGTTTTTTTTTAACCTCAACCATATCGTTAACCTCGAAGGAGAAGAACGAGGTTTCATAGAGGAATATAGCGGTACAGAATTTTCGGGAGTACGATTACCGTACCGAAGTGTTGCTTTCAATTCGGTTCAAAACCATATGCTTGAGTAGAGTGTTTCTTCTAATAACAATAGGAAAGCTTTCTTTAAATCCAAATGAATCGTATGTTCTAAATGTTTTGATGACACGCTAGGGTACAGCACTTTTGCCACAAATATATTAGCGATTAATTTCGATGATTTTGCAATATGATCCAGCTCACGACGAAGCGTACGTTTGTTATACGTAAACAGAGCCAAACTGGGTACGTCAAAATTTCTGGGTTGAACAAGTAGATTTTGTCGATTGCTTGTATTGTCTAGCAGACTATCTCTACTCAGAGCCCAGAAATAATTGAGCACTATGGATATGCAAGCCCAGAGAGTGGTTAACTGACTAGAGTACAGACAAAGGCCGCAGATGAGCGAAATGTTTCTGGCCAGATTCCAAAACGAGCAAAAAACACAAAAATAACCACAGCGACGGAGCATTTATCGTATCAACTGTTCGGAGTATCGAATAAAAAAGCTACTCTGAGCAAACGTTTAGTATAGTCAACGTCTCTAGCCAGGGGTATACTACCGTAGCCATTCAATTCATTATTACGATGGTATTTCAAATAAAGGCGCGAACTGGCGCCGATTGCTTTTTGCCGACACGTCACAGAAGATAGACGTTTCTTCAATAGTTTTTCGTTTATAGTGGATGCGTAAGAAACTTTTCCGTACTTTTTGATACCTGATCTGCTCTCTGTTCTTACTGTCCGTGCTTATGTACGTCAATGGCTGTGTGACAATAAGTTATCAATGGTAGTAGCTCCCAACATATCTGGGTATCATATGTATCGGTAGACCTTTGCAGTTGGCAGATTATTTTAATGGGCATCATCTTATCTTTTCTCGTTTTCTCGATAGGCACACTTCGACGATTCCCTTAAGAGCGACGGCTATTAACTCACAGAGGAAAAGTGATCCCCTTGACGTCAATTTGGTTAAGACATTATAAACACAAGTTCACACACAATTTTAAAAATTCACATATCCAATTTACAGACCTAATTCGTACTCGTATCAGTCGAGGACAACAATGATCCTAACAGCGGACGAAGACCTAATGGTTCATGCTTATTTCTACGAGGTGGCATCTAGAAGTCTGCGACAGACTGGTGCTTAAAAACTGATTTTATTTTAGAAGTGCATCTCAGTTATCCATAATGAGCAGACTGTGGAGAATCTGGACAAACGTCCCAAAACTATTAAAAAAAAAAGAAAACACGCCATTTTTTATTCGCTCATTGCACTATGTTGTGCTACTAGTCCGTAGCTGCCATTTACACGCAAATAAACTAATTAATAAAGTCTCGCTGCGTAAATTTTGTTTCTCGCGTAGAATCCACGAGCCAGAGCTGATTGGGCCAAAATGCGGGAGTTGCATTATAAATAAGTCAACCTAACGCTGGATAGTTGCTATAGTGCGCGAGGTAGAGCTAGCCTCGTTCGAACATTGGATCGAGAAGCTACTTGATAAAACCTAGATGTGGCAGAATAATATGTCACTGGTTGCCCAGTGAACGTATCAAAGTATTCGAAATTTACGTTGCTTCCACCGTTAGGCAACAGTTTAGTAGCAATATATATATATATATATATATATATATATATATATGAAACTGGATTAGTGTATTATCGTCACTATTAGAGCAGTGAAGTCTTGGAGGCTTTCCGCATCGCCTTTGCTTGCATCGCCATTTTTTCTCATCTTGCCATCAGCTGCGTTACAGTTTAGCAGGTCATTGATTCGATCGTGTTGTAAGATATCATCGTCTCGCTGTGACTGTACGGATGATAAGTGGACAACCGTGAAAGGGTCGACGGGCTTTATGCGATGATTGCCTGTTTTGCTGTCGCGCTTGAGAGTTGCCGCCAGTGTTCCTGGGCAACGATGGCTGCCGACGACACCGTGAGCCCTGCCACCGCCGCGAAAGTTGGCGTTTCAGCAATGGACGACGAACCCGCGCATTTCAATACGCATATACGCAAACTCCCCTATCCAAGCTACTAACAGTACCGGTCGCTGCATCTAATACAATACGTAGGTATAGCAGCCACGGCCGACAAAAGTTGCGTATCTCTCCAGAACCAAACAGGAAGAGTATGTGCCGCAGGCTCAAAGGAGTCTGTCTCTTTTGTAGAAAATAAGAAACGACGTTCCGCACGGCCGCTTAGATCATGACGACGTTAGCTAAAACACCTTGATAGAGAAAATTCTATACCATACTAAATGACCTTTTCAACAGCCGATTATGTTGTTGCAAAGCACCGCTGTGCTATAACAATGAACAGACTTATATATTCTCTAAGGACTCGGTCGCGATTGTTTTATACGCATTTTACTGTTAATATGCCTTCCTGTTTATCGCTCCGCCTCGGCGTTCTCTTGTTATAGCAGCAGCGAGCTGCCGGTAATGCTAACTAGTCAGCGTTCTTGGCCCGGTTCTATTGTAGCACGATTCCGACTGCTCGTCTACAATGTCTTCTTTGTTTCTATTCGCATGCATCTATTTTGGAATAAAGTTGGCTGGCCGGCCGCCAACCGAATCGGCATCTTCTGACCTTTGTCTCATCGTCTCATCGATTTGGTCATCGACTGGTAGCCATTGCTTATTCCGACGTACAAAATATGGACGGCAATCCTGTTGTCTAAGTGCCTATTCGGTGATCACGGCCGTCGTTGAGGGGACCAGGGGGTACGAATTTCGCAGTGAGTGCGACTCAGTTACACCTTCCTGCTCTAGCCGCTACATTTGCATCGCAAAAAGGTAGAAAAAAACTAATCACAGACGTACAGGTCGGCGCGGATCGCTCGTTTTGATTTTAGAGAAAGAGATGTTGTACCGTTTTAGTCCGCATATAATTTTCGTTTATTCAAATCAAATACTTGCTTGGCGTACGCCCATCTAACCACTTATCTATAGTGGCTGTACCTTTTGAGGCAAAAGCCCCCGTGCTACAGTCGATAAAAGGTTCCACAAGCCAATGCGAAAAATCTCGCGTCACAGTCATGTGATTTATATACATCAAGTGCTTATCAAGCTTTGATCCAGAGTCCAAGAGCTAACGACGGCGATGGCGAACGAATCGGCTGCAACGGATTGTGTCTTACCATACGTGTTTAGCAGCTTGTAGCTGCTGCCTGTTCCTGCGACCAAGGAACGTCCCCTGCTTCTGACTAGCCATCGTATGGATCGCACCATACAGGTATCAGCCTCAATAAAAGCTACGGCTGAGCACATGTCGGTTGGCTTAGGTTGACTTGTCTTGGTTACTGCTAGACAGAGAATTATAGAGCCAGTGTCGTCGAATGAGGGTGGTGAAGATCTGTTGACGGCGCCTGCCTCCTGCAGCAAACGATAGCAGTTGCAATCATGGCTATTTTTGAAGCGATGTCACTGCTACCATGCGTGGCCGCGGCTGTGTGAGCTCATGCAAACAGAGCGGGGACTGACTGATGACCACTTGGTCCATTTGCTGCCTTGTCATCAGCTGTAACGCCGGGCACCCGTGCCGGTGCCTATAGCGAGATCTACACGAGCTTGCGGGCCTAGTCTCATCTCACAAACGAGGTCAACGTCCGCTTTGAGTCATCCCCTCTCAGCACGATTGAAGCATCAAATCAGCTGCATATAGGTGGATAGTGTATGATCACCGTTTAAAACTTGCGTGGAGTGTCAATTGCGTGTTCGTATTTTTCCTGCACTCTAAAACTACGTTACCTTTGAATTAATCCACAATATACTAAATCAAGATGATGTTCGAAAAGTCAAACTTAATCTATCAAAAAAAACCCGGCCATCCAGACACACTTTTCTGTATAAGCGAAACATTTATCTGGAAATGTCTCAGTGTTTTGCACTACCGAAAACTGATAAGATTTAGAACTCTTATTCTCGTTAGCAGTGTTTGCCTGTAGCACAGCACAAAGATCGGATCGAATCATTGTGTCCAGCTTTAGACAGACAAAGCTGGGAAGGCTGTTGCAGTCAATATCTGCTTATAGTCGATGTTTCTGACGTGTGTCTGCCAAGCTATAAGAAGGGGAATGGCGGCACACTGAAACGTACGTAGCGAGCCAGTTTCTACAGAGATGGGCACCTGACGAGACGCCGTAATTTATAGTTCAAGCGATCCGTTTTCGTGCTAAATTAACAACAACTGAAAAGCTAAAAAAAAAAAAAAATGATGTACCCGTTGTAAAATGCTAGGTAAATAATATGGACACTTGTTGTCCTATCATCTATAATCCTCCTATAGCTTATATAACGTCTATAGCTCGACTTCACTTTGAGTATTGTGATCGAAAAGGTGGCAAGTTTTTTCCATTATGTTCACTAACTTCTTGGCATTATTGCGGCTTACTCGAACGCAATACCTGTATTTCTATGGATAAGTGGTTTCGTTCGTCACGCAAGAAATGCTGTTCAGCTTCAGCATCTGACGCTATATCCGTGATCGACAAAGATCCCCTTAGTCGAATATCTATTTGTACCCATAGATCGTATCGTTCCTTTGTCACGATCCGGTGCTCGTATCGCAGTTTGGAAGTCCGTTTGATGATACAGCATCAATGATCATTTAGTGATAGCAACGGCTTATTTATTAACAAAACTAAACTGAAAGCTGTTTTCTCTACTAAGACGTAAAGTAGATATTTATTTACTTGTTTCAATATAAATAAAAACAACTACAGGCATCTTCTTAGGTAAACGTAGTCAGCTAGTCTTTACCTAACTTTAGCAAGGATCGATTTTAACTGCGCTGATTTATAGATCTGTAGGTCGATGTACTGAATGACTATATCTTCTTCTACAGCAACCTCAAGCTCACCCGAGCCGACAGTCCGATATGACTACAAGAAAAAAACGTCCGCGGCGCGTCTTGAATCGCTCCTGGCTGCGCGGGAAGCCTCGCGAGAGGCTCGCGACGAGCTATGGCCGCCGCCTCAGCTGCCGCTTAGTCCACGCAGTGCAAGTCCACAAGAAGCACCCATGGCATTGCCTTCTCTCGCGATGTCACCGGCTGATCAGCAAGTGGACACACCGCTTTCGGAGTCACCAACCCCCGCGGTGGCTTTCAGTCAGCCATTGGCTCACGAGGTCAAGACGGTGTTACTCGAACAGGCAGCATTTGTGCACCAGCAGGGCGCTCAAACTGGAGTAGCAGCAGGCAGTATGTGGCAGGTGCCTGGAAATGGTCTTCCGGCGATACCTCACTATCATCTTCAACCGGCTGCTGCGCTTGAAGTGGCTTTCAGAGGCACTCCTGCGATTGCTCCACCCGCCGGTGCGCCATTCAACCAGGCAACAGCACCTTTCATCAGAGGTAGGCAAGCGTTCCTAAACTAGCCCTTAGGCTTCATCCTTCCAACAGTGCAGCGGAGGCTCCCGCATAAAAAATCATTGACTTTACTTTATACATGCTACGTATTGAGATCTTCCTATTAGACTGCTTCGGGTTTGATGCGTAGAACTGCCATTGGGCAATACATGAGATTACCCTGAAAAACTAATAGTTTTGTTTAAGACCAGAGAAATAGGTAATTCTTTGACAGTTGGAAAAATACGATGAAACAAGTAGCCATAACTCAATGCTCTTATTATATTAGACGACCTCTTTTCGTTTTTCGAAGGAAATTCCCTTTGGCTCTGTATGCAGCCCGGTCACGGAGTCCTGGTGCCTACAGACAAGCTGCCGCCAGGCCCCAAATTGCAAGTAGCGCGGACAACCGCTCACGGCTTCGATGCACCTGTTGCCCGATGCCCGGTTGAGGAACAGCATGCCTTTACTATGCGGGGCGGGTAAATCTGAATGGTCTTTAAACGACTACAGCGGTTTCGCACCGCTAAAAAATCTGGCCTTTGCTTGTAGAGGCCACGCCTCGTTATGACTATAACGAGAATGCGGATTACGGTGATGTTGATGGCAACCGAAAATCCAAACATGGCCGGTTACGTACGATCGGTTGTATGATATTGAACAAGCTTCCATCACCTATAATCAATCATACTAAGCAAGTAATGACGCTAACTCAGTTTATCAAGGAACCGTTTACCAACATCGATCGCATTCGATCGGTGTGGCAAAGCAAGGTGCAACAAGATAAAAACTAGTCTCAAACCGATGCTCATTTAGTAAGTACGTGATAATAGCATTTCTTGACAATTAAGTTCGCATGCAACACACAGATCCAGAATACTACCTGCGTGGAATTAAATCAACATTTTCAGTTTGATTTAGAACACCTAATCTGGCCAGTAGGATGACCGTAACCGCAAAAAAAGTTTTTGGAAAAACGTAGGGTAAGTTACTATTGAATGACTACATAGAAGTGCAGCACCTAAGGTAGCGATAGCGAGAAGGTCGGACGCTCGACCAACGAGACGACCCTTATTAGCTCGAGACGACTATTAAATATTAGCGCGTTCTAGCTGATTTATCAACAATGCCTGCTGGCGTGAACGTGTGACTGTGCGACGTCCTGTTCGGCCTCTAAGAGGCCTTCATAGTCTAGAGTCAGTATCGACGATCGTCGTGTATCACTGGTCGCTCACCCGGATCCCGCGCAGTTTACATACACTCCTAGCATCACTAAACCGAAGACGCACAAAAGTAATAGTAGTACTAATCAAAATAATGTTGAAATATTGTTAATATAATAAATTCATGATAGCAGTCGACCATGCTAGTACGCCCACCAGGAGCAAAGAAGGCTGTATCATTTAACACAGTTCTTAGGCATACATCCACGTAAAGGTGAAATAAATAGGTATATATTTATTATATTGACATAAGAAAAATCGAAAGATGATGAGATGAGATTAGTTCATTCAAGCCAGTGACAGCAACCGCCAGAGACGCGTAGTAGTTCATTCTATCTCTCGAAAGAAGACCATCTCGAGGACGATTGCACCTTGACGAATTGATGGACATTTTTCCATATAAAGGGTAAGAGTAAATTGCAAAAAATGGATTCCGCCTATCTTAAGATGTTGCTGGTTACCAATGGCATAAGATGAGCGGAACGATGAAATGAATCCATAGTGGAAAAATCATATTCATTTACTGGTAAAAGACAGGATGATTGATGGAGACAGGACGATATCACTTATGACAGCAATGATGATTACTATGTTTATTATTAATAGGACGCATTTTGATTGTTTTAAGTTTATTTCCTTCCAATCTGCGTGTTAGTGAACGAAGCAAATTTTCACAGTATGACCTTTCAATAATCATCATCATTATTATACTATATAAAGATATGAATTTGGGAGATAATAATAGTTAAACGGTTGACTGAGTCTGCGGCAAAAAATGCGGGCATATGCCCTCGTTCGTTATTTCATCTTTAACTAAAATGTCTAAATCGAGAGTCTCGATGATGCGTATAAACGAAATAGATAAGAGCAACCAGATAACAATAGATCTTATAGAAATAGGCTAGGAGAACGCTTACCGGCTACCTGCCGTTATTCCTGCTATGATGGATACTATTCACGTCCTTGGCGTAGGGACACTCTACTATTACGGACAGACTGATCTCAAGTTTAACCAAACCTGTCTCTTGACTTTGTTACTACGAGTAGTAATGATTAGAGAGAGTTGAGACGCATAACTATTACAGTTAACCCTATATAACATTATCTATGTTTACGATAGAGGTGAAATGATGTATCTATTATAATATAAAACGAGAGAGGGAATACTGGTAAACCACTGCCACTGGTCTCAGTGAAGCTCGGAAGGAATCTACCTACAGTGGACGGCGGTAAACAACGTTGCAGACGACACGCACAATATTTCATTAATATATACATACCTAAACAATAGATACAGTAATATTTATATTAAAAAACGACTGACAAAAATGCGATAATATATACATTTAAATATATATATATATATACAACATATATTAGTGGCTACGACTATTATTATATAAATGAAAAATAGTGACCAGTGTGTGTAGGCGTCCGGCCTATTACGCATAGACGAATATTCGAATCTAACGGACGATGCCGCGAAATGGGCCTGACAGACGCGCGCAAGAAGATATACATTGGCCCTATAAAATACAACATCAGCAAGACGAGAGGCTATCTGAATGAACGCTTTTCTCAACGGCGGTTGACAACAATCTGGCCCGACCGTTCTCTCGAACGGTCTACTCTTTATCAAAACGCCCACTCTTTCGAGCTATAAAATAGCTCTATATGCTGTTTTAACTAATTAAAGTGGCAAAGCGTTTTTATAATGGTTAATTTTCATGCCTCAATTTTACACCTAGTACTACTGTAGCATTTTTCTGGCCGAATTTACGCACAACTGTATGCCTAGTTGAGTTTACATCAAACCCTGAAATGAAGAGTGGCCATCTTCGTTTTGTGAATAAACGAAAATATGTACAAATTTTCATCGCCACATTTCCCGCTATTATTCAAATTTGACTTGTTTTACCCTATCTAAAATATGCTGTCATTCAGCAACAGATCAAAAAAATCGTTAGCCGACATGGTAAGCGTTTGAACGCCATTTAAAAACACCAGCAAGTGGTACTTGATTCGGAGAAGAAAGGGGCAAGGCAGCAGACGACATGTTACTGGCCTTCATTCTGGCGACCATTTATAAATAACGGCACGAGGTGCAGGAATGATGAACACGGTGGGAACTAATGTTTCAAGAAACACGTTTACACATTTAGCTAAGTTCTAGTTTGTGTGGATGCTTTCGGCAGCATACGATGATGTGTGTGTGTGTGTGTGTGTCTGTGTGTGTGTGTGTGAGGGGGGGGGGGGAAGAAAAAGAAAAAGGGGCTTGATCAAGTCGATTCACGCAGGGGGGTCACTACCACACACCAATGCAAAATACAATGATTTATCCCATGCAGGATGATGGTGATGATGAGTATATGTCGATTCTCTTCCGCGAAGACACACGCTCAAGACACAAGGTGAACATGCGCAGAAGATTAGGGAGAAGACTGCATAGTCTAGTTGCAACACTACTTTAAAAAGACAAGCGCGAAGAATGAATGAAGGAGCTCGAGTTAAGGGACTTAGATGATATAACTTCATGATCCACTATTGCTAATGGTATAGGGAGTATTGCGACAATAATAATTAATGACAGGCATTATTATGGTATTAACTTCAATTATATATGATAATTATAAGGCACTTATACGTTAAATAGAGCATCGATGAATATATAGGAATAAGTGTATGTCTGTAAACAATAAGAGGATATATAACCACTAGCGATAACTATTATGCCAACCATTATAATTATTATCAGAACTTCATTTGCCCAAGGTACATCCCGAGATATTTGAGAAGCTTTGGAAACGAAACATATTTAGGAATATCCTTCTTTAGATCGTCAAAAACTTGAGTCACGATACTTAGGGTCAACTGAGTTACTTTAAGTTTTTTTTTTTTTTCTTGGAACTTGCGAATAATAAGAGGAAGTTAGCGTTCAAGTTTCTATTGTTTTAGAGACCGAGCAGTTACGTACGTTCATTCTTGTTTGTGCTATGTGATATCCTGAACTGCTCAATAATTCATAATATAAAGATAATATAGAAATAGAAAAGAAAAACTAGTACCTCAAAATTCAGCAGAAACCTGCTTAACTTTCTCAGATTACCTCTGTTTAATACCATCCTCTAGCATTCATTGCCCCTGTAAGAACGACCGGTACGCTCCTGGCCTATAAGTTCGTAGGTCTAAGAGAATTCGGAATCGAGCGACCCTCATTGAATAATAATGATGATGATGGTAATACTAGTTCCTAATAATATATTAGGGTTTCCATTTTTTCAAGTGAAGTAATATTATACAGTAAAAATCAACGCATACCTATGTACTTTGCTCCGGCCTTACAAGTGTTTTTTTTTTTCAATTTGGTATGTACCAGGGATGCCCTGCCCTTCGTCCAATGTATGTGGTTAAATTCAATGATATGAAAAGTTATTGCCACTAAAGACAGTGTTATAACGTTTTATCTTATCAGGTTCTTGCCAAACAAATCAACCAAGAGAACATAGTTGTTATGTCACAAGTATGGTTCTCTGATTGCAGCTAATTAGTGCAGAAAAATGGATACTTTCGTCATCACAATTAGACTGAAAATTCTGTCTGATTAACTTCTAACGATTAGGGCCGCACGCTGTCCGCTGTCTGGGACTGCCTAGGCCAATATTCGGCTTCACATAGGGCAACGTATACGTTATAGTGTATACAGGTATAGCAGCAAACAAAATATCGACATCTAGGTTGATCAGGGGTACAGAGTAAGCTCATACGAGGTAACGAGAGCCCAAAAGAGGATAATAGTATGTGTGAGTTGGACGTCCTATTGTTTAGGCCATCAAGCCACAAAGGCTAAAAAACAACGCTCTTTCTTTGCTTGTCTTTTTGGCAACAATCAGCAGTACTTTTTGCTTTGTTTTTCAATCTAACCTCTTATAGTCGTGCACTATTCTTGCATCAAAACGTTTAAAATACTGAGTGATGAATGTGCCAGTGCGTGATATGTTCATTGTACTATACCGTATTGTACTTAATACCCCCTTAGCGCATCTCTACATATACCTACTAGCTAGATGGCAACGATAAAGAGCATGGGAAGAAGGGGTAAAAACAACTAATAAATACAAACAATAATAACAACATCAATAACTAGAAGTGCAGCAAAACTTTATAGTATCTAGGTTTAAGCTAAAGAACGTAAAGAGGAAATCAACATTATCTTGCCCTTCTTATCAACGAGCGCCCTTTTCGAATGATCGCAGCAATAGAGTAGTGCCGTATGCCCCAACAGAATAATATGGATAATCGAATAACGGAAATCTTCACACTGCATCTTCAAACTTAACATACGAAAGTTAGAGCTTAGGGAAGAGGGAAAGAGCACAGCTTTGCCTGCTCTGAATCCAAATATAGATAACGTACTTCATGTAACGTACGGTCATTGTTATTAGATTGTTATGAATGCTTATTAGCACATAAAGGCTCAGCTGTTAGGACGAGGGTGGCGGTGGTGGTAATGGCAGTGGATCGTAGAAGCGTAGCAGTGCGTGACAGAACGTAGCAGAGCACGTTTCAGAGAGAGAGGGCATACAGAACGGCCTCGAGGGTGCACAATGTCAGGTGTAGGGGCAGTATCGAGGTAGTGTGATTCGAGTGTGATAACGGCAACAACACTAACGATAATGAAGAGTGTAATACAAATATGATAACAAGATATGATTCTAAAATGATAATAGTGGTCAATGTGATATGAAATGGTTATACACGACACTATGCTTATCACTTTACGGACACATATATTGCTGCAACACCTTATCAAACATGTAAGCTTATACATAGTTACTATAATATGAACTCAAAGCAGGGACGATCTGGACTGCTAAGTAGCTGAAAAGCAAGTGGAACGGACAAAGACGATAACAGTGGAACAAAGAGATACTACGACTACTATTAATAATAGCAGCGGTCACTATATAAACAAACCATGAAACGGCTCGTTCGAGAAGAAGACCACTTTAAGAAGACTCGATTTGGCTTTGCTTGTTACAAAAAGAAACGGAACAACAAGCTCCTAAAAGTCGCGGCTAACAACGATGGCTACGCTGTTCGATAGAGTCCTCAAAGCTCTTCGTTCTAGGATTGGCAACAAAACTTTTAATTTATTTTTTGATTCCATAATCGTGGATACTTCGTTTGTTTTTCGGTTCGCCCAGAAAAGCTCACTTCATAGACAGTGAATGCACAAAGCACGAAATCGAAATCACTAATGGTAGGTGTCCGAATTGAGGGAAACGGAACGAAGAACGACGCTGAAGTGTCTGGAACGAGACGAAATAGGGATTGGCGGTGATCGTGCAGTGACGGTCGTGAACTGGTCGCTCATGCTTATATGAGCGTCAGGATCGATAACTGAGCAACAACAGAACGAACTAGGTGTTGTGAAGTGTTTATATAAGAAGAATTAGAATAACCGAAAGAAAGGCAAGTAAGCTGTGAGATAGAGAGACAGTGAGAGCTCGCGCATGGAGAGAAAGGGCGACGAAACAGAACAGAAGACAGCGGTGAGGGACCCCTGGAGGGAAGGGGGTAATATGCCTTGTGATAAGGTGGTCACAACGTGAAGGTCACATCTGCCTTTTCGCGCGGACACCTCACGGCCGACCTGTGATGTGAAGCAGCTTTGCAAAGAGAGGCGCTGCCTGCAAAGAGGTAATGTTGTATTTTTGGACGAGACGCGATGAGAGAGAACACCTGATAACGGTATCCGACAAGCCATTTACATTGAGATTGTTTAACGTTAAGATACAATCACGATTGTCTATGATTGCCAACGCTTGAGATTGGGATGAGATGCGATGCGATGTGATTTCTTACACACAGATGAAAGCAAACGATACGACAGCGGGAATTTGTAATGTTTAAAACTCACAAATCAGCAGAGGTAGAGATAGCGAAAACGCCATAGTAAGTTATGCTATTGTACGTGGAGTGATTTAACTTGAAAAAGTTCACGCAAATGCCATATCATGAACGAGACAATTTACAGTAGATCGTACTCTTGACGTTCAATGAAAACTACTGAAACCTAGGGCATTACCAAAATTGGGGGCATGATATACGAGCGTCTTTGCCTATGCGAAGAAACCTAGAATTGTGAGTTTCACGCTTCGCCTGGATGCTTGAGTGCAATCTTTGATGGTAGTCGTACCGACATAATCTAGGGACGTTCGGCATTGGAAACATGATAGAATTTCCGTAGTTCACAAAATCGTCACCATACGTCGCCAAACAGACACTTTTTGTAAAGTTTAGTTACTTGTGCAAGAAA